GTTGTGAGTGGTGGGGTTTCTACCCCCACCCCCCCCCCCCCGCCCCCTTCTTGTTGGTTCTGAACGCTATTTTTACATTTTTAGACTTCCTTCGCGAAGGATTCGGGTGCTTCGTAAACTTTGCGCGTGCGGCATCCCCGACGTGCGGCCGGCTCTGGGGTGGAAGGAGGCAGACACCTGGCACGTAGCACACCTCCGTGCAATGGTTGGACTGGAGGCAAAGCTAAAAATGGCACGTTTTGAGCAAGGACAACAGAGCAAACCTTTTTGAGCGAATGCTACGAATTCTGTCTGTGCCCACCTGGAGCAGCGGAGGATCTGTTTCAGCTGAAACGATACCCGCGGCCAAGCCTTCTAAAATTAGTGAGAGACGGAGGATTTCATTTTGAATCCAGGTTGTGTTTTGCTAGACGTGGCTCCTGCCTTTCTCCCGGGACGGGAGAGCCTGGAGCAAGCCCTGCGCCTGATTTACGTGAGCTTAACCCCGGCGGGGAGCTACGGTCCCATCCCGAGCGACCCTCTGGGTTCAAACGAGACTGCTGTCCCTCCAAAAAGTTTTAGCCTGATTTAGGTATTTCACCTTTTCAGTTTAGAGCGCGAGGGATCCTGTCTCCGGGGGCTGGGGTGGTGCGTGGCATTTGGTGTCAAACCAAGCGTCGCACGGAGCTTGACGGTTAAAAGCGTACAGGTTACATCACGCTGCCGCTTGTTGTCTAAAACAATCTCGAGTGTCGCAAACCTGGGCTCTTGGAAGAAGCCAGAGCCGTTTCTCTTAACGACTTTTTAGAAGAATTTTACTAATTTATTGGTCTGACTTCGGGGTTTTCTTGGGGCGCGCGTTCTGGGTTGGGGCTCTGAAAGCTGGGAGGCCTGCAGATGTTTTTAGGGGCCTTGTTTCCCTGTGCCTGCCTCGAAGCCCGGGAGCCGCGTTCGCTGCTTCGTTAACGGCGTGTCTTATTCAGGACGTGCTCTTCCCAGCGCCTGTGCTTTTAGCTTGAGAAAAGGGTTATTTGCGGTAGCTCAGCGACGGTTTTCCTCAGAGGCGGGGGTACCTCGAGGTTCGTCGTCTCCTTCCTCGCTCTCGAATGTCGCCATGTTAGAAATGTGCCGTACGGCGCGTCCCAGGAACCGATCGGGTATTTCCAAAGCGCGGTCGGCCGCCGCGGTGGAGAACGCAATTAAAAACACACCGTGATGGCTGCGGGACCTTTGCTGCTGCCGGAGGCGGTGGCTTCCCCCGGTCCCGTACCCGCTGGGGGGCGTGACGAAGAGGGGTGCGCGTGGTTCGTTTTTTGGAGGAGCTGATTTTGTAGCTCGTAGCGTTGGAGTGGTGCTGCTGCGAGACGTGGGGGCTTGGGGAGCGTTGGTCAGAGCCCGGTGACGCAAGCGGAGCCCGGTAGATCGGCAGGCTCAGCCTTATTTTTCATGGGAATTATTCACAGAACGGTTTGGGCTGGAAGGGACTGCTGGACCTTTGCTGCTGCCGGAGGCGGTGGCTTCCCCCGGTCCCGTACCTGCTCGTGACCGTGACGAAGAGGGGTGCGCGTGGTTCGTTTTTTGGAGGATTTGTAGCTCGTAGCGTTGGAGTGGTGCTGCTGCGAGACGTGGGGGCTTGGGGAGCGTTGGTCAGAGCCCGGTGACGCAAGCGGAGCCCGGTAGATCGGCAGGCTCAGCCTTATTTTTCATGGGAATTATTCACAGAACGGTTTGGGCTGGAAGGGACCTTCAAAGATCGTCTAGTCCAACCCCCCTGCCGTGGGCAGGGACGTCTTCCGCTAGATGAAGTTGCTCAAAGCCCCGTCCAACCTGACCTTGAACGCTTCCGACGATGGGGCATCGTTGTTGCTGCGACGGAGCTCCGCGCTGGCTGTAGGAGGTGGGATACTGAGTCGGGGAACTGGACTACAGGCGACTTCAGTACATGCTTCATGGCGTTTACCAGAGTTTTCCTACTAGCGAAGAAACTCCGGCTGGCTTTCGCCTGGTCGGTCGCTCTCCGCGTCCCACTTGGCAGCCAGAGCTCAGGTTCTTGAGAACTTCAGCAAAACCAGCTCTCCTCCCCGATTTGGGTGCTCAGATCAGGGCCAGCCTGGGTCCCTGAGCTCGGAGCTGCCGCCAAGCGCCACGCGAGCTCTGCAGCTTCTCCGTCGAGCTGCCCGATGCCGGCCTGGACCTACTTGATGGACGTTTGTATCGTAGGCTGCGAGCAGAAGAAAATTCCATCTCTTCGTGCCGTTATTAGAGCTGTAGCCATGCAGCCGATACGGGCAAACCTGGGACGAGTGAGCGCTTCCTTCGAGAAGACACCGAGATCGTCCCTGGCCGCTGCGTACCGATGGTGGAGGACCCTCTCAAACAAGTGACACGTTGGTGGGGTCATTGGACGCGGCGCGGTGGATCGGGTTGAGGCTCCCGGGGATATCTTCAGTTGGCGTCTCCGCGCTCTGATGGAAACCGAAGGTGCTGGGTCGGGTTTTAGCGCCCGTGGGTTTGAACACCCCGATGATTTTGTTAACGTGACTTGATGTGGATTCAGACAGTCTAAACCGTCAGGTTTTTGGTTGTGGCTATTACTGCAGGGTTTTTTTAATGTGCGTTGCAGCTGTGGAGACTCGTGGGCGGTTCGGTGGTCGTGCCACTTTGGGACTTGATTATTTTTTGCTTCTCGTAGGTATCTGGATTCTATTTTCTGCTTTTCTCTAGGGAAAACGATCGGTAACGTCGGTGCCCTCAGCAGAAGGCAGAAGCTCCTGGCAAACATGCTGTGGTTAAATACCCAAATCTGGGTCCTTGAGTATGTTCGAATCCATCGGGGAAGATGCTAACGGAAGGGAAAGGCTCGGTTCTACGCCTGCGTTTCCCTTTGAACGCTCCTCCCCTTTATTAAGGAGACTAATGATGGTCCCACGGGATGCGAAATCGAGAGTAGTAAGGGAGGAACTTGGCTGTTGCTGCCTGAGTGTACCCGAGGGTTTTTCAGCTCCGCGCTTAAGCCTTAATGTCTCTGAAAAGTCAGTTTATTTAAAGAAAATTCTCTTTATATGTCTGAATTTGTCTCGGTCGTGGGAGGAGACCTTCACCTACTCGCCTGGCCAGCCAGTAAGTTATCAGACAAATTTCTCACTTGGGTTTATTATTTTTAATGTCATCTTAGGAAAATTCCCAGCTGGGCCCGAACTTTCTGCGGCTGGTTGCTTGCAGCGAAGCCGAATTAAATGAGGTCATTTATCTCCAGGCTGGGTATCTCCAGGAGGAGACGTGGACGCCGTGCAGCGCTGCCCGTTCCGCTCTTCCCTTGCCTTTTTCCTGCTCCATCCACAGCGCGTTTTTGGTACCGTTGCCCAGTTCTCTTAAAAACGAAGCCTGAGGTTTGTAGCTTTGCTCTCGGAGAAGTCGTCTTCTCCCTGGTTTTTGGTACCCAGCTTTGGGTTGTCTTATCATTGTTGGGTTTTGAGGGAGGAGGGCCTCTTGGCTTGTCCTTCTGCCCCGGATTCTTGTGCAGCTTCCACCCACCGCTCTGTCGTTCCTCCTTTTCCATCTGCTTGTGGTCCAGAAACGTGGCGTGCAGCAAAGGCAGGGTAGATCTGCAGTGTTTAGCTTCGGGGGAAATCAAAAAAGGAAGGAAAAAAAGAAATAGGTTCACATTCTGGCTTCGAGCAGTTGAGGTCCCTGTGGTTTCTGCCAATTCGGATGCCTATAAATCGGAAAACGGTGCGTTTTTGCAGGAGCTGGCCGTGTGTGAGCACGCTGGGAATACTTTCCCCCTTCGGTTTTCGAAGTTTTAGGTCTGTGGATCGGTGGTGCTCCTCTGCGGTGGAGGGATTAAGGAGGGAGTGGTGTGTGCAAACGGGACAGGGAACGTCGCGGCCTCGGGATGCCTCCCTGGGAGGGTGTGCTCGCGCCATTGGGTTTCTCAAAAATGAGGAAATTCAGCAGCTGTAGGCTACCCAGCCAACGTATTTTGAGTTCCAAGTTGTTCCGTGTACCTTTAGTTACCCAAACATGCGCACGGATAATTACGTGCTCCATGCTTCATACGGAAGAGCGGCTAACATGTAAACTCAGCTCTCCTAAATACTGCAGTTGGGTGATCGCTCGGAAAAGAGACGGAGAAATCCCTGGGTTTTGAAAGGAGAAGGCTTTCAGGTGGTTCTCTTGCCTTAATTGTTTCTAATTTTCCCTCTGCAATGTAATATTTTCCTTGCAGTGGCTCAAAGCGGGCTTAAAGTGGATAGGTGACAGCCTTCCCTCGACGTCCTGTGTTGGAGATCTGTTGACGTAATTCTAAATATAATATGTTTGTGTGTATATTTAGACAGAGAGGGAGAGAGCATTTATAAACACCTATTTTTAATAGACGTAGGAATGTAAAGAAAAATGAGTATGTTTGCCGTGTGTATTTGACCTCCGTCCCAAGTAATAGACTGGCTGCATTTTGTTATTTAGGTGATTATTTAGATTTACTAACGGGACGAGCCGAGGTGTACCGGTGGAGCCGTGCGAGCTGCTTTGGTGCAACTTCCTCAGCGCTGCAGGAAGCGATTAGGAGCCGAAACGCTGCTGTCCAAGGGCTCAGATCGTCGTTGCTGGTTTAACACCCGCGTCGGCGCAGCCACGTACCCCGCCAGGGCCATGGGGAACAGCGACGCTCTTTGCATTTTGCAGCATCCCGGGCTACGCTTCGTTTTTGGTTTTCCTGGCCAGAACCGGTAGGATTCATTGAGGAAAAGGTCTTGAGAAAGTCAGAGCGCGGCTCTGGTTTTTGTAGGTTTGGTAGGACACTTGCTGAAAAAGCTTATTTTTTTTTCCCCCGACTTTTTTCCTGACTTGTCCAATTTTTTAAACTTCTATAAAAATGCTCCATCCCTGCAGCTGCCCCTCTCCAGCGAGCTTCAGCCTTTCGGGATCCATCCCAGAGGCTGCCGTCCCCCAGAGCACCTCCCTGAGGGTCCGGGGGCTGGTGTGGAGCAGGATCTGAAATTCAAGAGAAATGTGGGCTGGGAGGCAGAAGCTGACCTGAAATCCTGACGCGGGAGGAACAGGCGTCGGGCTGGGTCTGGGGAAGGAGCTGGAGCCTGAGCAACGCTCGACGTTAAACACCATTTTCAGGACCAAACACAAGATTCCCGCTGGCTTTGCCCACCATCGCTCAAAGATTTTACGGTTTCCACAGCCTCACGTTGTAATTGTATCATCGCCTTTCTATTGGAAAGGCATCAGCGGAGGCTTTGCAGCTAGAAAGAAAAAGCGTGTCGTTCTGAGTTAGCAGAAAACAATTATTTTTAACATTTGCAGCCTTCTGTAGCATCGATGTCCGGCAGAGAAAACTCCGGAGCCTAGTGCTTGGAGTTTGCTTGCCCAGCCCGTTCCCAACTTGCACTTTTACTGCAAATAAGGGTATAAAGGAGGACGAAGGAGGTTGAATTTATCTGTTCCTACAGTAATTTCCCTGCCTGATATCACCTTGTGTTTAGCATTGCCACAGCAACCGGCCGCGATGTTGCAGAGCGATAGCAGGGTGCAGGTTTTCACTCGTTAGCTCTCATTTCTTCTTGCCGTGCTAGGCCGGGTTGAATCTCACTAAAATAGTTTGATTTCAAGCACTCGATTCTCCAGGAGTTGGTGTTGCAGGGAGCTTGGGTTTATTTTCTTTCACTGAATTGAGAGCGGCTCCCAAGATGTCTCCCGCTGCTGACTTAACCTGCCGGGCAGGTTTTGTAATAGAAGATTAAACTTCATCTATAATCGCGTAAGAAATAAATACGTTAAAGATTTTATATTAAAGCGGCAACCTTAAGCTTGGCTCGGGTGTTGCAGCGTTTTATTTACAGCACTGAGACGACAGAGGTTTTCGGGGTGCACGGCGCGGGTTGCAGTTTCTACCCTTTGAAGTCTGACTTTAGGGACACCCGATTATGGGAAGGCATTTTCTTGTTAGGCTTGGGGTGAGTTTGGGGTAAGGGCGGGACGTTTTGCGAACGCAGACTTCAATGTGGTGAGTTATGGAAGCGTTTGGTGTTACGTGCGTGTCTGTGAATTGTAAGGTGATCTCGCCAGGGTCACTCAAGGTGAAAGAGAACACTAAAATGTAATGTTTTTACCTCCGTGTGACGCTCGTAGGATATATCCTGCAAGAACCTCTCCTGCTTGGGATGCAGGGGACAGGACTGCTCCTGCCTGCTTTCTCTTTTGGGGAGGAGGGGATGCCGGGGACCGCTAAGGTGTCGCATCTCCTCGCCGGGTGTTGCGGATGGCACACATCCGACTGTGTCCCGGCGTGGGCAGTGCGGATGTTTCCACCTCACCGGGTGACGGCAGGCTCATTGGGTCGTGGGAGACCTCCCCAAGGCCACCAGCGGGGCCACCGGTGTGGTTAGCCTTCTCCTGAAGCGGGTAGACTTCTGCAAGCCCAGCCTGCACGCCCAAACAGAGAGAAATCTGTTATTTGCAAGGCATTTTAGGAGACAAAGATGACCTGCGGTGCCAGGGGGGGTGTTTGTCATGCGGGCTTGGTGATGCCTTGATAAGGTCAGGTTAGGAATTTGCTTGCCCACGCGAGGAAAATCCCGCAGGTGAAGCGGGATGGTGATACCTGCTGAGGCTCCGTGCCTGCTGACGGGCACGGGAGGTGAAGGAGGGGTGGCAAACCCCCATGTTTTTACCCAATCCAGAAATGCAGCGGGCGAGAGGTCGCCCGCAGAAGATAGGGTGTAGCCTGGGGGCTGCCCGGGGGTCCCGCTCAGCCCTGGGGAGCGAGTCCTTCCCCCCCCCTTGTGCCTGCCCTCCGAGGGAGGGGCCTTGCCTTTCTTCTCTGTGTGTGTGGTTTGTTTTTTTTTTTTTCCCCCTTTTTAGCACACAGACCTAATTACCCAGAGCCATTCCTCAGGTCAGATGAAGCCTCAAAGTCTCTGCGTGTCCAGCGGATACGCGGCAGCCTGAGCTGCTGACTTCTCTGCCAAGAGTGAAGCCCTGTGCTGGTCGCTGGTAATAATGTTCGTAAGTCAGCTTAGATATTTCTGATTTTTAATTTTTTTTTGTACGTTCAGTATGCTTTCAGGTTCCTTGCCTTCGTCTGCTTCCCCCGTTGCTGCAGAGGAACGCTTTAGAGAAGCGTTGGTATGACTTGAGCCTTGTGCTGCGTGGAAGCTGGGTGTAGCCACTCGCTTTTCAGCAGGATTTAAATACTGAAATTATTTTCCTGGTGTCGAACATCTTTTAACTTAATTAGAGCAGTTTAGTTCAGCACATGCTGAACTTTTTCTGTGCAGCCTGGTGATTGCATGGGATGGGGATTTGAGCAAAATTAAAAACCAAACTGTTTTTTTCCAC